GAGCTGCTAGCATACGTTGATCTAGCACACCGATACGTTGATCTAGCACACCGTGCAGGTACGTCCCCTCTCTGGATCTGTGATACCTCACTCATGCGAGCCTTGTAGCACAAGGATACCCGCGTACGCTTGAAGGCCTGGGAGCCTCTATTGGGCAGCCGGCACTGGAGGAGCTTGTCTCCCGCTTCCTGTTCGAACAGACCCACCGGGACGACCCCAACGCACCGAACGCTGAGGACGTCCCACTGGCCGACTGCCCAATCCACACTGGGCGTGTCTACGTCGTCCACTCTGCATCCGCCACCTTCTATGCTCCTAGTGACCTCTCCAGTATTGCGGGCATGCGCCGCGAGCGTATTCGCGCCACCCCCTCATGGCGATCGGGTCCCGGGCGCTATGACTGTGTCTTTGTGAACAACAATGACGCAGACGGATTTCGAGGGCTGCTTGCAGCACGAGTACGCCTTTTCTTTTCCTTCACTTACGAGCAAGTCAAATACCCTTGTGCGCTGGTTGAATGGTTCTCCCCTGTGAGCCAGGAGCCAGATGACGACACAGGGATGTGGATTGTTGAGCCAGACTTCGACGAGGATGGTCGCCGGTCTGTTAGTGTCATCCATCTTGATGCCATCGTTCGCGCAGCGCATTTGATTGGGGTATGTGGGACGAGTCGTCTCCTGCCGACATTTAAGCATACAGACTCGCTGGACGCCTTTGCGGCCTTCTATGTCAATAAGTATGCGATGATCATGCCCACGAAATAGCGTTCTAGTAGATGTACATCGTATTGTATGATACACTACAGCCTGTTCCCGACTATTGCCAATATACTCTACACATTAGCTGGTTATACACAGTGCTCTGTCTGAGCGCTCTGAACCGTCTGAAAGGTCTCTGGGCTAGAAACGTGGCCAGGTGAATCAGTGATTTCAGATCGATCTCAGCCGGCTTAGGCCGATCAGGCGATATCAGGTACGAACCAGAACTTGACGTTTTGCTGATGACTGGGATTCAAGGGTACGCCTCAGTGCCCAAAGAATACTTTGGTACTCAATCCACAGTGTGCAAACGCTTCGTAAATGGCCCTTCAACACATTTTTGAGCACTTGTGCTTGCATACCCGCCGTTTGAGCTTATTAGTATGATCTTCCTGGCACGACGGCGACTCTGCCCAGCCTCTTGCTTGTTCACAACTGTTAAGAATGAGCGCAGAGTGGCATACTACATCTCTGATTGGGGCCTGTTCATCTTCGGTGATTCGGATCTTTTCTAACTGAAACGTTTGAATCGTATCACTAGGCTACATTCCCTGGATAACGGAGCTAGTCAGCTCCGCGATCACACAGTGTGAAGACAGTGATTTGGGTGTACTATTGTCGTGATATGGTGAACTTCTGTCCGAAGTCCTCGGAGCCCTTCTTTCATAGACGCCGAGCGTCTGTCATCACACAAACTCTCGTACAATTCGCAGGACCCTTCTAGCATTACTGGTGGTACACAGCAAGGTATTAAATATTTCCATATTGGAACCAGTTGAGCTGCGATTGCATCTTGATGCAATACGACCTGTTACTATCAATCACAGTGTTTATCTTCATACCTATCTGTTGTCCAGATTCGCGTCGACTCGAATATCTATGCCCAACTGCCTGCAGGCTTGTATTCCGATGTAACTGCACGTGTGACACATGATGTCTTTATAAAGATACAGCTTGCCTTCCATCCCGAAATCGTTGCTCTCAAGATGACGGGACCGAACCTGCATTTGGACTCCAGTCTGGGCTCTTTTCTTGTTGGGCTTATGCTTTCCACCATGTGAGTCCGTATTCGTTCCATCAACGCAGCATTCACCATGCAAATGTTGTTTCCTTTTAGTTTCTATGGTATAACATGCGCCCAGGTTGTATATTACTTCTTCCACTACCGTAAAGACAAGTGGTTTCTCCAAGTACTGGTATGGCCCTGCTCATTGTAACTTTGTGAAGCTCACGTCACTCATCCGTAGGTCCTATTGCTCTGGTGAGAAATTTCCGTCAGGACAAAGTTCCACTCACATGAGTCTCTAGGACACTTGATACAATGGTGACGGCAGCAGATATCCAGGTTATGTGTCTTCATCGCATGCGAACTATCAAACCTGACGTATATACAGTTCATATGGAAATTGGTGGTGACAAACCATGCCAGTCCATCCACCTTGTTCCCGTTGGCAAGGTATGTCACGGGTCACCGTGCGGAGTCCGTTGACTGGCTAAACGTTGATACAGGGGCTGCATCGTAAGTTGTCTCTCATGATCTATGAGACGCTCTAATGTCTTGGCAAGGTCGATTACATAGGTGTCGTGAGTATGTAGCACATAGTGTAGACAGCTTTACTGAATACATTGACTTTAGGCTCTTGCAGTCATAATAGTGCAGAGGTGAGATACTACGTGACCTCATACTGTACCGGCCATTTACTGAGCATCATGGAATCACGGGTTGACTCACAGCTATTATATGTTTAACACCTGGCATTGTGCGTGACATCATCCGCAATTGCAATATCCTCATAGTCTGATTGTCTTACTCTGTATTCTCGCCCCAGTAATTGCCAATCCATTATATCGGATACCTCTCGTTGGAATGTCGGTACGTTTGTGAACGCGCCTTTGTATCATGGGGTTCTCACAGCCATCCAAGATGATTTTGGCTTTGACGTCTTGTAGTATGTTACATGTGTGTTACTAACAGATGTCTTCGCTGATGCTTCGTAATTACCTAGTATGTAGTCTTGGTAAGTCCCAGGCTGTAGTTTTGCAACCTCGCCGTCTGATGCAACTTGATTGTAGCGGCAGCGTGGATAGGGTACGTTAGATACTACCATAGCTGGCGTAAATTCAAACATGTGCACAGGGCCCCCGGTGTCAGCCCAAGCACATTTGCACTTACGAAGGAAGGCTTTGTCTTGCCTCGTGATTTATGGGTACCAAATACTAACGTAGTGTTCTCCTTTCAGATCCCGTTCGATGTGCAGACTACCTCCGCATCTCTTGCCGATATTATCATAACTGTGACGCTTGTCATCACTTTGCGTGGCAAGCGGACCGGCTTTAAACGGTAGGTTGCGTGTCCGAGAATGTCGCTTGAGCTTACTGACCACCCGAATTCCACAGGACAGAATTATTCATCACAAAGCTCATTGTGTCCGTGTCGAATCGTGGCATAATGACAACGTGCGTCATAGTGTATTGATAGTTTCTTATTGTCACGGACATTGTTTATGCCTCAGCATCCTGCAAATTGCGCAAGTTGTCACTGTAAGGCACTGCTTTCTCTAAAACAACGAGAGAAACAACTGTGTACAGTTCCAATCATTCTCAGTCAACGTCTTGATATGGTTTATATTCCATGCATTATCGGGAAAAGGCACGTCGTCCCCTGCACTGCTCATGTATAACTGGACTGATTCTCACTCACAAGTGTATGCAAACTCACTCATGACCATGTGGGTGAACGTCGACTCGTCTACTGCCACTTATGTTGAGCTTTGAATAAGGCTGAACACCCGCACATCTATGCGAGCAACGGTATTTGGCTCCACAGATAGTGTCTTACCAGCGCAGGAAATACCACTCAATGTGATTGGTGCAAACTCCGGAAACCCGTTCCCATACTTGTGCGTCACACAGACAATCGAAAATCAATACCTGTGCTAAGGCAGAGGAGCGGAATAGGTCATAGGAAACACGTCCATCTTGTAGCTACGCTCCGTAGCTGGACGGTGGGACCCCGAGAATGGAATCAGACTACCTTTGTGTATGCTTCTTACATGTATGACAAATTCAAGACAAATGCGATACATCGTTCTTGCTTCGGGCCTGAGGCGTACTTCACTGGTACAGACGTCATTTGAACATGCCATGACCACCCTAATTTTATTCAGGGATTCGAGGAGAATTAGTATCGTGGGTACATGCAGTGCCCTGTCTCTCTCGGAGTCCCGCTTATCATGCATTATCTTCACAGTACAAAGTAACCAAATTATTACTGCAAAGGTCTCACCAACATGCATGACTCAGTTTCATGAGCCCGTGTGCAGCGCTACCAACTAATAAATATCATATTCATCCTGTCAGATCCTGCTTATGACGACGACTTTGCGAACGCGGCCATGCAGACGACCGCGCACCTGAAGTCGGCTGCTGCGCAAGGGGCGCATGCCGACGATCCTCGCATACCGTCATATCCTAACTATGCTTTTGAAATAACTCCTGTGTCTCAGATATAGGGTAGTGCATTTCCGACGCTCGCATACTTGAAGCAGATGTATATCCCGGACAATGTGATGAGCCTCGCAGGCGGATAGAAGGTTCAACTCCCTGCCTGAATGTACGCAAGACGCGACCCTTTCCGGAATGTTTAAGTTCATATCTCTCTTCAGTATGTCAATGGATTGTGGCACACATGTTATCTGATGATTCCCTCGTTACCACAGCGCGTGTAGAATACCAAAGCTCGTTAGTCCGGCAAATAGTGAGGTGGCTTCAGCTTTGCCTGGAATTCGTAGAATGCGGAAAGAGCCCGTGTCGTCTTCAAATTATAATTTGGTGAGACATCGTGTGAATCGTCGCGCATACAGGCGAGTCATGCGCCGCGATTATAGCATACGGAATATCCCTTCATCACTTGATATTGGTAGCAGGAGGCACAAAGAGACTGGCGGGAGTATGCACGACCGATTAGATCCAGCATGTCATTTTGTGATCTTTCTTCCTCAGCTAGAACTACCGATAGATCCTGGTGCTGTGCTATTTAGTGCGGGGTATACAGTTAGAATGGCACCGCGTCCTGACAGCATTGGTGCCTGTTGGAATCCTCGTCCAGAACGTACAACAGTCTCATTACATAATACAGCGTGGGAATTTGGCCTCACTGATACGCGTTGAGACATCCTCATCATCTTCGTCCATATCATCTGTCTTACCTCCATATACCGGAACAGTGTCGCTTGAAATCTAATTAACGTATCATTTGACTTTCCAGATGGACGCTCCACCTCCCGAAGATGGCGGGAAGGAGCCCGTTATCGCGAAATGCGTTACAGTGACGTTTTTACGGCATCCTTGTAGCTACCAACCAAGCGCTCCGCGACGTGAGGCTATCGTCCAGTCGCGCCTCTTCGTCGCTGCGACTTCCCGGCGACGGATTTTAGAGCCGCTGATCGGCAAGTGCATTTTCCGTATCGATGATGCTCTGTTCTCACACGATCGGTTTCGTCACCCGTGCCCCAACTGACATCCGGGCGAGTTCACAGTCATGTTCCGGCTTCAGCGGTGTGCTATGAATTGACTTGGGCTGTGTATGTAGGCATTTGCATATCTCACGCAGCAAGTCGGTGACAATACGCCAGAACGACTGTTCATCGTGGCTCCTGTGCATCATACATCCACATCAACATAGTGACTACAACAACAGGGGCTATCGCAACGCTCTCATGTATGTCAGAAAATAAATCTATGATGCGCAGCGTCCATCCTTTGAGCGCAGTTGAGCAGATGCGATAAGACATGCTAATGGAGGCGTATAATAATGGTACAGTGCAGGACTCTTACTTTATCCTCGACCTCGAGCATACCTCATTTGCTTACATGTCCATCATGGCACCTGCACCATCTACTGCACAAGAAATACGCACGCGCCTCATTGCAGAACCTTTCTGGCTCCAAGTATGCAGCTTCGTCATAGCGGTCTTTACTTCCCACTCTACCTTTGGCACTGTAGACTGGAGACCGGTGAGCATGCCCTGTATAGCCCATTTACAACGTCCCTTACCTGGCTGGTCCTCTTCGAACAAGGTTGTCGTGCTCTGTTCAGCCGATTATATAGGATATGGACTTGATCATTACCTAGACCAGGCACCGGTATACGCACAAGCGCGAGAGCTTGACGATCGCGACGTCTTGTCCGTCTTCTCGCGTGCACGGATATACCTCATCCTCAATGCTGCCGCATTGCTGATCGGGCTGCTGTGCTGTCCTCCCTCGACGTGGGTGCTGGTCGCATGTATCCTCGTACCTGCGCTCTTGTGGAACACACCGCTGTTTGATTGGCCAGCTGTGACCTCGATAGGCGACGCCAAACGTTCGTTCGTCCTAAAACGTGTTCCGGTCATGAAGGCGGTATTTGTCGGTGTCATTCGTGGGTAAGAGACAGCCGCGTGTCAAAGCCAATATTGAGGTGTTCACGTATTTCTCCAGCTCAGGGTTCTTTCCGGTGATATGGTCCGTTATGTCTGCACCTGTCTCTAGGACCTGGGACCCCGTGAGGCTTATGGTCTGGTCCACCATCAACTGGACATGCATGTCTGTGAGTCTCGTCAGCTCGTCACATTTGTCGTATATCCATTCATGTTGAGTGTATCTGGTAGATCACACACGACATGCGAGACTTTGAGGAGGACAAGACGGCGCGTATACCGACGATACCTGTTCTTCTCGGATCCGTGTATGGGGCCAGGATGCTCATCACGGCGGTCCAGCTGGCAGTACTCATGGCATGTTCAAACGACCTCTACATCGTGTCCTGCTCCCTCTGGATCATCACCCTTGCGTGGCGCGTGGATGAACAAAGTCCCCGGTGGCTATTTATATGCATCTCCCACGCACATACTCCAATATTCCTTGTGTATGGTCTCGTCCAGTGGCACAGATAGGTATACGGAATGGCGGCGCAATAGTGTATACGCTACTCACCAGCATGTAGACCGGTATATCCGGATTTCTAGTCTTACAAGCCGAAGTGAAACCCGATATTCTTCCGGAAGCTTCTTGTCTGAACCCTGCGTGTGTTCAGGACGTGAAGATGCGGTAAGCAGAAGCGCTGTTCTGATAGCAGAAAGATGCAAGAGATGAAACTGCCTGTATGGGGTGTCATCAGCAAACCCTCTGAAATCTGCTATAGCCTTATGCCTCCTTATGCCAGCGGCCGATACGCACCAATATTCTCACGGACAGACAAGGGCCATCAGCAAAACGTTGGCGCTCTGATCCCTGTCTGAATCGTCTGGATCAGATCATTCAGACGACTCAGGCGCTCAGACAGCTGTCTGAATTAAGGAGGTTCACTTCTGAGCCAAACCCGCCAGTCTGCATCAGAGTGCTAACAGACACACTCAGACAGACACCAGACGACATTCAGACGACACTCAGATGACCTTCAGGCCTCTTCCAACTATCGCAAACAATAGGTATATAATCTGTAAAACTAGATACAGATTCCGGAATATATGCACAATGGACCATGACTAGGAGACAAACAACTGAATTTCTTCAAGGGAGGTAACACGAGAGCTCGAACTCAAATGTGTATGCTGTGCATGAGTGATGAAATATGCGAGACAAAACGAACGGGGTGGGCGCATAGCGGCCTGGAGAACGATCGCGTCGGACGGGGTATATAGCGGCTGTAGATGAGGGTTTGGCCTTGCGAAAAGCCATATATGATTAATATCGGGAAACCGGATAGCTATCGGAGACTTACAGCTGCACATTTGACCCGGCCTCAGGTGCTGGAGTGACAATCAGTGATGCTCCGTTCACATGATGCAACGTGAGCACACAATAATATTCAGATGACATCTAATGCAGCTCATGTTGAGTTGCCAAGAGAAGCTTGTGAAGCGTGATTGGCGGTACACACTGTAGAGGACATGCAGCAGGAGCTGCTCTGGCTGCTGGACGATTATGTGCTCACCGGCTGGGTCCCACCAAACCATGTGGGGATTCTCAGGATGCTCAAGCCTGCAAGACACGTCAATTGTGCGTCTGGGGTCACACTTCAATGCAGGCAGAGACTCACATGTAGAGCTTCATGATAAATGACACCTGAAATATATTAGAACAAATTGGGAGGAGGAGTAAATTGTATGGGTGACCTGCATCAATGAACCACAAGCCTAACAGTGACACGGGATAGGTGCATTGCCCAGGATGAGGGTGTGATGGAAACAGAACAGGTGCACTACTCACAGTGCTCTATCACCAATCCAACATCACCCACTTTGCGTATTTTTGCAACCGATTGCTCATTGTCCTCGCGGCTGTCACGAGTTGGTACGGCGCCTAGCCGTTTTTTAATTTTTCCTTTTCACGGGCTCGAACCCGCGACCTCTGTACTACCTGCCTGATATGGACACGTCGTTATCTACTGTACGATTAGATTAGATAGGACGGCAGTGCACGGCACAGCCCGGGCCCCGCTGACGCAGCCGCTCTGACTCACCGGCCCCCGGGGCCGCGTCGGCATGCTGCGCACAGACCAGCTGCGCACGGACCAACGTGCACAGCCTGCCCTAAATCTTCCCATGTATATAAACCAGCCTCTGCTGCCCTAGGGACCTCAGTTTCGACCTCTTGTCCCTAGGTCAGTAAGCTCTCCTGTACTTACTTCTTTTACTTACTAACTAATACATTCTTGTCCCTAGCCTTAGGTTTGAGCCTCGCTCGCCATCGCTTCGGTGAGAATCAGTCGGACGCCCCCAGCCTTCAAGTTATCCCCAGTCGCTTGACCTCAAGTCGCGACATTAGGTCGAAACTCCTCAAAGCTGCCGGCGTCCCCTCGGGACTCCCTATATTCACTTTCCTTTCCCACAGGTCGGGTGGTGCGCACCCCTACGATACTTCACGGTACATACAATACATAGATAGCTTTACTATACATCGCCAACCCTCGGGGAACGAACTCTTCAACACCTGCACTTCAGTGGGCGGTGTTTGTCCTCACGGACGCGTGGACTAGGTTCCTGCTGCATAATAGTCAAAAGCAGTACTGG